TTATTGTTGTAAATAGTAAGTTTATTAGTGAATGACAAATGTATTATTGCAATCCTAAAAATTATTATCATTGTACTCCTAATATTTTTCTATAAATATGAGACTTTGGTTCTTATTATAATGCATAAAAGTTGGTTCCTCTCTATTCTCTTCTCTTTTCTCTCTTGTCCACATTATCAGCACGGAATCTTAATTCTCCAAAAGTCTATTGAAGGTAGTACTTTTTTAAAGCATAATCAAATGTATCAAAATTAATTTGGTGATATGTGAATTTTTTTAAGCATAATTGCGTATACAAAAATTAATTTGATAATATGTAAATTTTTATATATATACATATGCGAATACATGTATAATCAACTTCTTGTGCCTTGTCCCGCAATGAATTTGTGTCTATCAATTTGTGCGCAAAATACATATGCTTTCTAATTCCTTTTTCAATTTGCCGTTGTAATCATTATGCGCACAGCTTTTAGTTCATGCCAATTGATGGTTTCTTTCTACCCATTTTGTAGAAAAGCACGTAACCACGTGAATTGGTTTCTGGATTAAGCCATGGAATTTATGAAATGAATTTTTGAGATAGACCTAATCGATATATCCTTTTTTTTTCCTCTTTCTTTTTCATTCAATTAATTCAAGTTAATATTTAACATGTATTTATAAATTAATTAGTATTATCGTTGTGATGTATAATTGAATGATTTATTATCATTTTTTATGTTTAATAATAAAATATTAATTATTGAATTCATTCTTAGTTGTTGTTATTCCTGAAGAAGCACAATTCTATAAATAATACATAGCTCTTGAACAGCTACTATTCCAAAATAATAATTTGTTATTGTTCCTGAAGTAGTACAACATTAAAATTGATGTTTCATATTAAACAATTCAATATTAATTGTAATTTTAAAGAAAAATGTTTTTTCTTTTATTAATATTCAAGAAGAATATTTTTTGTTCCTGAAGAGTATAAATTATAATTTTCAATATTTCAAAAAAATGTTGACATATTACTCTTGAATAAGTAATAGTAAAATAAAATGTGGTCTCGAAGTAGCACATATTTCAAAAAATATATCATATGTGTAATTTATGAATTTGTGTTTATCCTTGAAAGAAAATATACTACTCATGTTATGTGAACATTGATTTTTATGTGATTATATAATATTTAATCGTATTTTTCGAAATTAAACAATTGAATAATATCTTATATTGAACCAACAATTTAA